GGGGGCACAGGAGGGTCAGTGTACTGTGAGGGCAGGACGGTGGAGGGGATCTCATGGGGTGGTAGCTGGTCCATTTTCGGGTATGATGTGGCCTGAGGCGTTGTGGGGGCTGGGCTGCTGCCACTTGAGACATGAAGTGGGGTGTGTGGACAGGGTGGGTGATGCAGGAACAGTGTGGATTAAGGGCTTGGTGTGGTGTATCAAGGCTCATTTGGGGATGGTGAAGGGAACAGTACAACATGTGGGTGAGGTTGGGGACAGCACAGAGTTGCAGGTAGTCTGATATCCGGGGTAGCCGTGTTAGTCTGTATCTACAAAAACAACAAGGAGTCTGGTGGCACCTTAAAGACTAACAGATTTATTTGGGCATAAGCTTTCATGGGTAAAAACCTCACTTCTTCAGATGTATAGGTAGTCTGATGACAGGAATGGGGTAGGGAACTCTTGGGAATAGCATGGTGGGAAGATGGTTCATGTGGGAAGATGGTGTAGGGGACAGTGCAGTGATGGGGTTGTCATAAGGGCTGGAAGGGCATAATGTGGTATTCTGACAAAGCATGTGGGTCAAGGTGGTGCAGCTGTATCTAGATGTGGACGTGTAAGAACCAACAAGAACGCACTTTTATGTAGAAATCCATGATTAAATCGAGTCTTCCTGACTAGTGATTTAAAACATGCTTTAAATCAATTTGATTTAAATCACATCCACCCTGTCACTGACTAACACTAAATACCTTAACGGCAATAGCTTTTACTGCTTTAATGCCTGTTTTCATCCCAAAGAACAGTGCAGTCATCTACGTACGGTGTCACTTCACCTTCCCACTATAAAACACAACTTGGGACAGGAAGTGAGAGAGAATCCCTTAGCCACTACAGGGGGACTTAGTGTAATTATCCCAGTTGGGCTGCCCCTCCTGACGCTTGTGAAATGCAGCTTAGGAATTTTAATTGGTACAGGTAGCCAGGATGCTGGTTCTATGTTTTATCTAAAAAATAGCACGGCCCCTCTCACTATGTTGAGCCATCTAAGTCAGTAATGAGACAAAGAGGAGGGCACTCGTCTTTCCATCACCATTATTCTACTGTACGGTTTCCCCTTACACCAGGGGTCAGCAACCTTTCAGAAGTGGTGTGCCGAGTCTTCATTTATTCACTCCGATTTAAGGTTTCGTGTGCCAGTAATACTTGTTAACGTTTTTAGAAGGTCTCTTTCTATAAGTCTATAATATAGAACTAAACCATTGTTGTATGTAAAGTAAATAAGGTTTTTAAAAAGTTTAAGAAGCTTCATTTAATTTAAAATTAAATTAAAATGCAGAGCCCCCCAGACCGGTGGCCAGGACCCGGGCAGCGTGAGTGCCACTGAAAATCAGCTCGCGTGCCGCCTTTGGCACGTGTGCCATAGGTTGCCTACCCCTGCCTTACACCATGCTGTGGCATTTTGATCAATACTGATTTGAAAGGAAGAGCTACCCCCTCACTGAATCATTGGTGCGTCCTGCAGCACGTGGGCTTGGAAACGTCACACCTGAGTGCTGTCCATACTAAGCCGTACGTAAACATCGCAACCCAAGATGATGCAGCTGCCCGTTAACTTGATAGGGTGATAGACTGAAAAGGGAAAGTGGGTTTTAATGGCATGAAGCCAGAACTAGAGACCAAAGGAGATTTTAACCTGTGTTAAAGATGAGCAATAATCACAGTTGCCCTTCTCACCTAGGTCTGGTAGATTGTCTTTCAAAGACATTTCTCTGGAGTTTCCTACGGGTATGACAGAGGTTTGAGACACTACAGGACCATGTGGAGGTTTGATGCTATGGAGTCCTGCAGTTGCTTGTGTTCCCATGCTATAAATATGAAAGGGATGAACATGCTATAGACAAAAACCCAAGGCTGTGACCGTTAATCTTTTAAAGAATTTGCTTCCCAGACATAATGGTTCCCCGTATCCTCTCTACCACAACAGGTAGCAGTATAACCGAAATAACAAATGGCTGAAGAAGAGGAAACTCTAGCTTTCTCCTGTTCTCTACTCAGGTTTCCTGTCCTGGTTTCGCAATGGCTTGCTGGCAACCGGCGTCGGAGTAATTTCTTATGTTCAGAGCGACATGGGACGAGAGGCAGCTTATGGTAAGTAACGCACGCTATAGATGAACTGGACGCTGCACCAATGAAAAGTATTATTGTCACCAGGTTAGTTAACCCACCACTGAAGTGTTGATTTTTTGTAACTAAGGTCTGTTCACTTATACCCTGTCAAACAATTGCTAAGCCCAGAGGTGGCCGCTTGTCAATTATGGTTGAAGCAATCCAGTCCAGTGTGTACAGAATTAGTAGATTTCATAAAACACTTTGAACCGCATGGCTGTAGCAGCTGCTTTCTATACCTGTAAGATCAGGGAAGGTTTATAACCACCTGCATAGCACAGGTCAGACTAGATAGATGACCAGTGGTCCCTTCTGGCCTTAGAATCTATTAATCATTTTTTATAAAGCTCCTACAAATGTATTGTCTGGATAGATCTTTAGCCTATAGACTATAATGGCTTATGTGATTATAATAGTCTATACGAAGAAGTTAATAGGCATCTTGAAATTGCCTTAGGGTCTAACATGTAAATATGCACTGACGGTTCCAGTGCTGTAGCAATGAAATGGTCTGTAAAAGGCCTTTGAATAGTGATTATAGATCACATACAGGTCTGAGAGTCATGCATGGATCCAGTGTCCAGCTTAGCCCATGAATCCCTGGGTAATAACCTTGAACAATTCACTTATCCCCAATATCACTTAATTTCTCAGGCTGTAAAATGGTGGTAATACCCCATTGTAATACACTTTGAGAGAGCCATTGAAAAGATGTGGTAGGTATGGATCATACAAACAGGCTGCAGCAGTTGGGAGTTACTGAGTTTGAACTCTTGGGTTATGCAATTTCTGTGTGTGTTTACTCTGTGCTCCACGAAAGCTGTTATAAAATGAGGAAGCCACTAGCAGATATGCTAAAAATGGCAGCAAACTGACCTTTATGTCCTGGAAAGATATGAATTGTAAGGTGTATAAATGTGCTGGACCCTAGACCTTAGAAAAGGAGATGTAGCTGCCCTCAGATGAGATTTAGAGGGTGATGTAAAATGGGGGGGGGGAGAGAGGGGGGAGATGAATGTGTAATACAGATGTCTGTAATAGGGTGACTGTGTGAAAGTAACTTTTTTGTTCCCGTTGGGCTAGAATCTTGAAGTCTGGTGCATGCATTGGAGGAAAAAATACCAGAATTGATCTTTATATCAGAGGTCATCCATCTACCCATTTACAGAAATGGTGTTTCTCTTGTGAGGCATGAAAGGCCTCCCATTTGGGGAAATTAAAGTCGTCTCATTTCACCAGTTTTATGGGACTTGTGCCAAAGATTTGTCAGAGGCATGTGACTGCGTGACAAGATGCAGCGTTGATAGCTATGTGTGCCGGAATGGTGGGGCTGCTGTCAGTGTGTAAAACATATCACAACAAAAACTAGTGATGACCTTTTGACTCAAAGCCCTTTGTCAATGACACGGTGACCTTACCTAGCACTGTGATTTGAGGATCCCAAAGCATGGTACAAGCTCAGAACTGCCTACTCTGTATGGCAGGTGTTATCTCTGCCAGGCCTCTTTTTTTTGAAATCTGTTCTTGGTTCTGCTGTAGACTTGCTGAATGAGCTCTTGGGTAGGTCACTTCCCTTCTCTTTGCCTGCTTGCCCATCTTTAAAATGGGGATAATACAGTCTCCTCCCCTGAGGATGTGTGTTTTCATAGAGCACTTGAGATCCTTTGAAAGCTGCAATACAACTGCAAAGGATTTGTGCCGATCCTCTAATCTCGTCTTGCTTCATTTGTTCACTGATGCCACATGCTAGTATTTAGCCTCCTAATTCCCTACGAATAAAGTAATGTGATGACACAAATAGCTGACTGGGACATAGATGAATCAGCTAGGAGGAGGACTCTTGCTGCTTTCTTCTGCACACAGACTACAGGGGAGGGAGAGGAAATGCAAGAGAAATCCGTGACTGTCACAAGGAATTTTGGTTGAGTATGGTTATTTTAAAGCTCACCACAGTGTGGTGCAGTGGTTCTTCAAAACTGGAGAGAGAAGAATTATATTTGTAAGTTGCCTCACATTTTATGAAGAGTTGTGCGTTTATGGTTGAGCTGTATCCAGTTGAAGAGTTCTTGACTTTTAAGACAGGAAGTTCAGGCCAACTTCTCTCTCTTGTTCTGTTTTTAAAAATTGTCCTGGTCTGTTTGATTACAATGAAAGCCATTTGGGATTCTGATTTCTTGCAGTGTTTGCAACTCAACTATTGCAGCTTGGGGCTAACACAGAGGAACTCTGTGGCAGAGTTGGGAAGAAAACTCATGGATCCTGGGGCCCGGTCATGTGCTTTAACCATCCTTCCTACCTCCCAAGAAACAACTCTTCAGAACAACGTGCACAAGGCTGTTTTCCTTAAACCCTAACTCAAAGTGGAGAAATCATAGGGAAGACTTTCTGGCATCACCTGCACTGGCAGAATTGTGCTTAATACAGTTGTTGCCTGCAGTGTTCTAGCACATCTTGCTTGACTTGTGTGAATGGGGATTTATTAAGACAACCTCCTAGGGAGTCTGGAACAATTTTATAAGACAGTCAATCCATGTCTACGCTAGCCAGGGAAACCCTGCCAGCAATGGTCACGCACAGTGCCTGTCGTAACTAGCATGGCCCTGAGTCCATTATAGAGAGACAGAATGGCCTAGAAGTTAGGACACTAGGCTAGGACTTGGGAGACCCGAGATCAATTCCCTGTTCTGCCACAGACTTCCTGTATGACCTTGGCCAAGTCACTTATTCTCTCTGTGCTCCTTACCCTATCGTGCAGATGGGGATCTTAGCACTTCCCTACTTCACAGGGGTGTTAGGAGAATAAATACATTAAAGACTGAGCCGCTCAGATATTTCCCATAGATGGATGGCTTACCAAGCTCTGCTCCAGATGCATGGATGGATTTCATTCTCTGTTTCTACTCTAGGTTTCTTCATTCTCGGCGGGATTTGCGTCTCTTACGGCAGCGCCTCCTACCTTGTCAGCCTCTTCCTCCTCCGCCGCACCATGATGCTTGCTTTCTCCACGGCCCTGCTGAACGGCACGGTGGTCACAACGGTGGCGCTGTTCTGGCTGTGTGCCATCTCCCTCTACATCGGTCGCCTTGAGGTTGAGATCATACAGGAGGACAGTAGTGATGAATGCCAGGACTCAAAAAAGGATGATGGGAAGTCGGACGAGTAAAGACCAAGGTCCTGGGGAATTTTGCTGCTTTCATGATGGTCATTTAGAATGTTCTCCAGCACGCTCAGTGGACTGAGTTTTAATGCAATAGATACAGCGCCCACGGGCTGTCCTGCCCACAGTGTCCAAGGGCACAAAGAAAGGGCAGCTTTATTGTAAATAAGACACTGTTGGCTGCTTTATATTTATTTAACATTTTCCAGATTGGCAGTGGGAATTAGTATTAGAAAAATTGGATCATCAAACAGAAATATGGCTGCAGGAGACCCTGCTGTGGTAGCAAATGGATTGGTGGGACGGCTTCCCAGCTGGGAGCTTGCGTTGCTGTCAAAATGGATCTCTGATGCTTTTAAAGAACTGGCTGTCCATTGAGATCCTGTGCTCCCGTCTCCCACATACATCCCATGCCTGTTCTGCCACGTATGCAGAAGCTGGAAATTTTAAGCCAAATTCAGCTGATGCTCCCTAGAAATGTTGAATCGCAACGGTATCCCATGGAGCCCGATCCTGCTGCCCCGGCGTACGTTGTAAAGTTAGCACATCCCATTGAGGTTACTCACAATGCCTCTTGAGCCCATTTTACATCCAGATCAGTTAATGTTTGTATTAAAAACATCAAAACAAAACGGCTCTCTTCCTGTGTCTGAATGAAATGTACACTCTGGGATTACTCTGCTTTCTCACCCTCCCCATTTCCACTTGCAGAAAGGGCCTGTTTACGTTGTTATGCAGGTTAAACTTCCCTTGATTTCCATGAGTTTTGTTTCTATAAGGGTTACAGGATCAGGCCCTCATGTGTGCTGCCCTTTCTCTGCTCTTGCCTCGAGAGATTAATAGTTGTAGCTTTTTTTTTTTTTTTTTAAATCGCTGTTGAACTCCACAAGCACCTATCCGGGAAGCATAAGACTGGGAGTTAGAGTACGGTTCCAGTCCTACCCTTGCTGCTGCTTTGCTCAGGTCACTTATTGCTCTTTGCCTCAGTTTAGTTATCTCTAAAATGGAATATAATTGCCTACCTCTTGGGTATAAGGTTTGTGGAGCATATTTGAGATCCTCCAGTGGGAGGAGTTAAGGATAGGCAAAGTATTTATTTTTGATCTATAAAACTGTTTACTTAGGGTATGTCTACACTACCCGCCGAATCAGTGGGCAGCGATTGATCCAACAGGGGTCAATTTATCACGTCTAGTCTAGACACGATAAATCGACCCCTGAGCACTCTCCCGTCAGCTCCTGTATTCCGCCGCCGCGAGAGGCGCAGGCAGAGTCGACGGGGGAGCGGTGAGTAGGTCTAAGTACGTCGACTTCAGCTACGTTATTCACATAGCTGAAGTTGCGTAACTTAGATCGATTTCCCCCCCCCAGTGTAGACCAGGCCTCAGTACAGTTCAGATGCTATCCTTTTGGCTCCTGGCAAGTTGTTATTGTGACTCATGGTGTTGCAGCCCTCCACACAACGATGGGTACATGTGGGTGGAAATGACCCTGTGAATAGCTAGAAGTAAGGCCACCTATCAGTGCAAATAAAGGGAGGGAAATGTGATGCAACCAATTAAAAACCTCACCTGGTTGTGACTGCATCTATTCCCTTCCCCCAAACATTGTTACTTTCATTTCTTCCAATGGTTTGTTTTCACTGGTCTGAACAATCATTTGCCATGTTGTTCATTTGAAACTTCACGATGTTGTGACCTGGAGGCGTGATCCATCCTGCAAGGCCGGAAACAAAATCAAGGGTCTGGATCCTTGACTCTGGAGAACACACTTTATACTTCCTTGCCCCATGGGCTGTCTGTGTGCCAGATGTAACTTACGTTGGCATTCTGAGTTACGCTGGCTGTCCGCAGCTCCAAAGTGCTGATTTGCTAGCAAAACATCAGATAGAAGGCATGGCCAGGATTTCTCTATGCCAGTGGGGTGTGGTGTGTGTAGGAACCTTTGTACCAGTTCTGCCCTATTGGATGCATTTATGCTGGGAGGATCTCCCAGGGGGCTGGTTATGTTGGCTTTAGGGTCAGAATCTCCAGGCGCTGCAATGCAAGTATTTTCCCAGCACAACGCTAGGGATAAAGCACTTCGTAAAAGCTGCTAAAACCCCAGCCGAAAGACGCAAAGGATGTGCGAATAATTAGGTGTGAGGCTTTTTATAGTCTCCTGACATCCCTCCACCAAAATCCTCTTACTTTGTAGGCATAATGAAGGACAATATTAGTCTCTCTCTGAATTAGAAAGTCTTGCAGTTGGTATCCTAGCACCTCATGTATGCGGAGTAAATACTAAGAGGACATTATGGAATTATTCCAGCTTTACACGAGTTTGATAGAGCAGAATTTGGCCCCATCTCTCAGCCTCCAGGAAAGGAGGCTTGTGAAACCCAGGTGATAACAATACATTGGCTATTTTTCAAACCAGAGGTGGCAACCCATTGATTTAAAGCCTCTCTGGGCAATGCATAGTTCGCAAAGGCAATGTCCCCAAGGGTTGTGCACTGGAAATGACTCCGCTCCATGCATTAGCAATTGATGTAAATGACCTTCAGAGCATTTGGCATTACGGGCTTCCGGAAGGTGAGGAGTTGAGCAGATGGAATGCATTAATTGCAGTTTTCGTAACTAATGCAACACATACCTGGACCATTTTCCCCTGCTGCAGCCTCTGCCGTGTACTTAATCTGCTTTGCACTGCTGTAGCATCTCTCCTGAGGGTTTCACTGTCTTGCTGATATCTCCATCTGATCTGCTGCTTTTGCCTGGCCTTTCTAATGACGATTAGCGCTTTTCCCTTTCTGAGGCATCTGCCTTTTTTCTTTATTAGTTGTCCACCTGTTTAAATTATACTGTGAAGTTTTAGAGGCAGGGACTTGTCTGTTAAAGCACCATGCAGGCATGTTGTGTGTTTTGTGAATAAATCATATAGGACTGTCAATCTGGCACATTTCACTAATAGCTGTTGTGAAAACTTTTTTCTCCAGTTGATAAACTCTGTCCTATTTCCCTATGGTATCTGCTGCTCAGCTCATTTGGCGAGCACCTTTTGAAATACCCAAGAGGAACGATGCCCAAGAGATTAGATGAGCCCTATAACTACCCTGGGATTTGCAAATGCTGCCAGTCCTCATTATTTTGAAGCAGTTTCTACATGAATCTTTCACAACCAGCCTACCCTCTGATAACTGCTTTCCATGACAGATGCAGCAGCTGGCACAATAAAGTTTGTAGAAGTTTACACTAACTTATCACGTAAAATCTCTTCTTCTCCCATTGAGTTTGTGTGAAACTCTTGCCTATACGGATGTACTTGAGCAAGATGAAGCAATGTTGGATGGGGGTTATTCATGAAGCATGGTCTAGTGATTAGAGCAAGGGATTAAGTCAAGAATCCTCAGTTATGTTTTTCAGCTCTGGGAAGGAGTGTCGCCTAGTGCTAAGTGTTTTGGTATTCCTGGGTTTTATCCCCTGCTCTGACACTGTCTGGGTCTGTGGCCAAGTCAGTTTCCTCATCTGAAAGGGAGAATACTTACCCAGATCTACAGAAGAAAACTGCCGTCGAATACGAAAGCTTCTAAGCAGATGATTGAATGTGAAACATAACTGACTAATAATTATTTTATTTCTTTAAATGCCATGTATGCATGAAATCTAATGACAAAGGAGAGTGTGAGCAGTAAGAGATGGAGCAAGAACGGAACAGAAAATGCAAAGAACAGTGGAAGGTTCTGCTGCTCTCTTCCACGGACCCCAAAATAAAAGTCCCCCTCACATAACTTACCTCAGAAGAGCTGTTGATTGCAGGGCTATGGCTCTGAATGTCTTGTTTTTATGCACTGTCCAGTTGCATTTCCTGTGAGAGGGGATTAAAGTAGGGACCATCCATCTGCCCTATTCCTGTCCATCTGAAACCTTTTCAGGTATTCGAAGCACAGCTTTGGAAAGTCTGACACAGTGAGTTTTGCTCTCGTGAAAATCACTTCCGTTCTCCTTTAAATCTGCTAGCAAATACCCATCCGATCCAGTCACCATTGAAAATACAGTGGGTGCTTCTTCACAGATAGTGGGTTGTTGACTGACAGCTTCTGGGCCTCTGCTATAGAGGCAGGGGTGGACATGTGTCTGAATTCCCTGATACCAAACCGAAACCCACTCCCCAATTTAAGGCATGTTTACAAGCAAATGGCCTGATTTTCCAAGGTGGCATGCACCCACAACTCCCATTGGAACTGGCAACAGTTGTGGGTGCCAGCACCTTTGACAATCAAATCCTTGGTTGTTCACAATGGGTTTCCATCCCCCCTAAGCCCTGGGTCTTGCTGGGTGCTGTTTATGCTGCTCACCTGACACAATTCTGCTGCTGTTCGTGGCCTTTCATTCGTTTCCTGGTTTCTTCTCATTAAACCAAAAGGGGAGAAACAAGTTGATTCCTTATTTATTTTTTAAATTTTATTTTCATTGAAATCTTGGACTGCAGAAAGCTGCCGCAATGACAACACCCAGTCAACGATGGACGCTACCTTCATCGGACGAATGGGAATGGAAAAATTAAAAAAACACACAGAGATCCTTCAGCAAAAGTTACAGAAAAAGAACATGGCATACAAGCGCTACTGTTTGGGGGTGGGGTTGGGTTTTGTTGAACAGAATTATACAAATCTGTCTTTTTTTTTTTTTTTAAATAAGTGCTAAAAGTCATGACATCAGTTTATCTTTTTAAGTGCAGCCAATGGAGTTGTCTCTTTGCATCCTTTTGTTCTCCTAGCTTGCGGGAAGGAAGGGGTTCAGAGGTGGCTCTGGCACCACCCTGAGGGTGTATTTTTGTTGGATCGTTCAGTTGAAGTGCTGTGTTTGCAAGGGGAGGGGGTGGATTGCTTGGAAGAAGCTCTGTAGCACAATGCCAGCCCGTCAAACTAGTTCAAATCCAGCCCAGCGTGACCATGAACAATGCTCACTGGTGTGCGGTGATTTGGGAAATTAGTTGATCTTCATTTAGTTCCTAGTTGGCCCCACTGCAATTCCCCCTCTTGGCAAGCTCAGTGCAAAAGCCATGGATTGAACAGACCACAGAAATGGAACTTGTCCTCATCCCTAGTGGGTGGGCTTACCAGGGCAGGGGTGAGGCACCGTGGCAGGGGACAATGTGAGAAATGGGGACCCGACGCGGCCTCTGCTCATGATTAGACTTCAGTTGGCAGTCACTCCCACAGCTCTAAATACACTTCAAGGAATAAGGGACTACAGTAAATCAGCGTAGCCTCCAATGACTTTGCTGAACTACAGCCCAGATCTACAAAGGCATTTAGGCATCTAAATCTCTGATTCGGGCATCATCCCAATCCACAACCCCCCCCCGCTTGGCATAACTCTGTAGTTGCCTAAACTCGGTGCCTAAATGTTCCCTGGGTACCCACGTTTCTGCCTCTGGGCATATGCACAATGCCTCATTCAAGGCATCTGGATGTCTGTCTCATGCCCAGGCCCCAGCCTGATCTACGCATCTGAGGAAGATAGGCGTTTGTTTGCGAGTCCTGAGCCGCTGGGCATGCTCCGAGCACACCTACCTGCTTGGGTCCTATTCAAATGTGGCCAGAGAAGAAGGTGATACTGCCCACTTTATAGCTTTTAACTTAGTGGTCAGAGCACTCACCGGGGGTGTGGGAGACCAGATGGTGAGAGAGGATTTGAACAGGGGTCTCCCACCTTTCAGGTGTGCCCTAACCAATGAGATATTCTGATGTCGGGCTCTCAGATTCTCCTCTTGAAGTTGTTCCCCTTTGGATAAATAAATAGAGGAATCGGGGGACTGGACTGTGGGTGGAAGCCCTAACCACAGATCACCGTCGTTCTTACACACTCTGGTCAAATGACCATTTAAGCGCTTATCGCGTATCTTAACACTTGAGAGACAGGTGAGTGCAAACGCTCTTGCTCTAGCTGAAAAGCAAATGCAATTGGCGGCTGTGCGGGCTGGATTTCAGCTGAGCACAGCTAGTGTTTGATTCAGGACCAAGTGCCGAAGCTACTGGAAGCTGGGGAGGGGGCTCACCCCCTCTTAGGAAAAGGCCCTGCAGTGAAGATGATGGTAATGAGAAAAACAGGAACTCTCCAGCCAAGCCGTCAGAGCAACCTGGAAACCCTTTTCTTTGTATCCAGCTTCCATTCATCCTTCCTTGAATAGGAGAAAAACACCCAGTGGAGTTGGGGGAGAAGCCTCTTTTTTTTTTTTTAACCAATCCCCCCTCCTCCTAGGGAGGAATAAAAGGAAGTTTGCTGCTGGCACAGAGCAGGGTAGCAGAAGGCCTGGCCAAAGAACATAAGAACGGCCGTACTGGGTCAGACCAAAGGTCCATCTAGCCCAGTATCCTGTCTTCTGGCAGCAGCCAATGCCAGGTGCCCCCGAGGGAATGAACAGAAGAGGCTGTCACCAAGTGATCCATCCCCTGTCGCCCACTCCCAAAGAGCAAAGCACTCTCTTTATTTTGTTAATAATCTGCAGGGAAAAGCACTTAAGCATAGTTAGCCCTTACAGAGCGCTGGGCCAAACTGCTCGGTGGGTCAGAAAACCGGCATAAGTGGCCAATTAGTCTGACCCACAGCTATGTGAGGCTGGGACACGACTGAAACTTACAAGCTGAAGAGGCCAGCAGGGTTGGGAGGCGTAAGAGAAGCAGCCACCTGGAGGCGGTAAGATAAAGAGGAGGTGATGAGGGAGGGGCACATTGTCTTACACATTAAAGCAGCTATGGAGAGGGTGTAAGTCACCTCATTTTGCCTTCCCCGCCGATCAGAATAAGCAACTCACTTTGCTACTCACGCTCTCCCCGCCGCATTTACCCCACAGATTTCCAAGGAAGCTGCATCCGTTTGCTCCAATTTACGTTGCTCTCTCAGGGGCCTGGCTTCCCCAAACCCTGTTCTGCTCTTGGTCACCATGGAATCACTCCAGATTTTACCCCCGTGTAACAGAAGAGGAACAGAACCTGGCCCCCAGCTTCAACAATCGGGACGATGTTCAGCTCCATCATAAGTGTCTGGCAGTAAGGATTGATTAACGTTTATACAGCATTTTGAAGCTGGAAAAGTTCTAGGGGCCAGATCCTCTACTGCTGTAAATCAGCCGACGGACATCGGGCCACGTCATGAGTGCAAAGCGTCCTTTCTTCCCATGCACCATTATGCATTAATGGGAGAAAAGGCAAAGAGGGGGAAGGAAGCGCCTCCTGCTTTTAAAGATATAAATCAGGAAGGTGGGGCTGAGCTGATGCTGGCTGTGATTCTGGCTTTTCCACAAAGGGTAGCTGATTTTTAAAAAGTGCCGATTCTGTTCTCTGGTGTAAATCTGGAGTAACTCATGGACCCGCTTTGGATTTACACCAGCGTAACAGGAGCATCTGGCCCAGAAGGGTAAAGCTATGCAGCAGGGAGCAGAATACTGATTTGTGCTGTGATTTAGTCGTGGGGGAGGGGAATGAGACACGAGGATTGATTCCAGAATAAAGATTTTTTTTCCCTGTTGAAACATCCAGCAGCTCATGCGGTCGTGAGCCCCCAAGATGAGTTTCAAAGGAGCACGGACTTCAGCGCAGAGCTCAGTGCAGAGTCAGTTCAGGGTGGCATGTCTAACGAGACGCCTTCAGGGCCGCTGCTTGGCTTAGTCCTCTTTGCGCTCTGCGGCTGACAGGCTGTGGATGCCGCCGCTGGCCACGGAGAAGGGCAGCGTAGAGAACAAGGATTCGGCGGCCGTGAAAACGCCCCCCGCAGCGCCCGAAATCTGCGCCAAACCGGTGGCGCTTGCTGAGTTCCCAAACGGCGCCACCATGTTGAGCCGCTGGATGTGGTGGTACATGAGTTCCATGGAGGTCTTGGACTCCGCGCTGCCGATGTCCATGAGGTTGATTGCGTGGGAGGCAGGCAGCACACTGCCTGGCAAAGCCAGGGTCACGTCGGCCGGGGCGTATCGGATAGTGCTGGTGGTGTAGAGGCTCTGGGAGCCTGTGGTGCTGGCGATGCCGTGGTGCCCGCCGAGCTGGTGCACCAGCGGGAGGACCACGTTCCCTGCGTGGAACCGCTGGAGTGCCTCCATCTCGCCAGGATAGACCAGGGGGGCGAAGGGCGTCGACGTGGCCCTTTCCTCGCACGGTGAGCCCGAGAGCGGGGGGGAGAGCGTTTCAGCTGAGGGGGCTGGCAGCATAGCCCGGGGAGAGGTGCTGAAGGGGGCCTTAGCCAGGCCCCCGCTGCTGTCCATCTCGGGAGGGGTGAGGACAGAGTCCGGGATGGAGACGTACAAGTGGGAAGTGGCTTGCCTCAGAATGGGCTTCTCCAGGCTAAGTGCTTTGCTCACAGTGTAGGGGGGTCCCTCGTGGAGGGCATCCCGGGCAGAGGGGTAGGTCCACAGGGTGGCCTTGTCGTACTTGGGAGCCTGGCTTTGCTCCGTCTTAATGCTAAGCGCCGCGCTGGCTTTCGGTGGGTAGCTCCTCTGGGTCTGGATGACAGAGGCGAACTCTGATGTGCAGGGCCGGCTCAGCCCCGCGTTTCGCCCTGCCGCCATATTGTACCCGTTCACCCTCCTCTCCAGCGCCACCGGCTGGGGCGGGAGATCAGGCTCCTCCTCGCTGCCGCTGTCCGACTCCTCGGTGCTGATGAGCGAGGCCTCCCGGGGGGGGCTGTCCGGCTGGAACTCCAGCTTGATCCGTTTGCTCCGGGGCCCCCTGCGCCTGCTCTCGGCGTCGCTTGCCCCAGCTCCTTCCGACACCTCCTCATCCTTGTAGCTCGTTTCCGGGCTGCTGGCATCATTCTCCGCCATGGAGCAACGGGCCCCGTCATCCGGGCTGCTCCGGGAGTAACCTTTGGCCAAGGCCCCAGCCGCTTTGGGCAGAAACTGGTTCCCCTGCTTGTGTTCCGGCCCATGGTCGCTCTCTGGAAGGGAAGAAAAGAAAGTGATTCAGGAGCAGCCTACTCAGCAAGGGATCTGGACGGAGGTTGTTAAATTCCACCTAGCTGCTTTCTGCCAGCGGGCGATGGGTTTATTTTAGCTAACAAAATATTTTTCCAGAGCGACACCTAATGGGAGTTATAGCCCACTTTATAGCTGCTTCCTACCAGCAGGGCAGCTAATGATCACAACCTCAGGGCAAACCGGCAATGCAAAGTCAACGCGGCATGATTCCTCTTAGACTCTGTCCCTCCTGCCAGGATGGATCTGATTCCCAGCCTCATGGCCAAAGAAGAGAGGAAAAGATTAGCTCCCTTAATAAGATTGTACTTTTCTTCCATCCGAGTATCACAACACCGGTTCCTAGCATCGCAGTGCTCACCACCTCTGCTAGACGGAAAAACCAAGATGCTGAGCAGGGGCCGAGGTCACGCTGTATCAGAACCAGGAATAGAACCCAGGCAACCCAATGCACAGGGCTGTGCGCTAATCTGCTAACCCTGTCTCCAGGGTTGTCTGTAGCTTCAGTGCAATAGGATTCCTTCATGCTCTGGGCTGGTTAAGGGCCCAAACTTGGATCCTATCTCTAGGGCAATGCATTGGAGATGGGGAAATGCTGTTCGGGTCCCATCTACTCCATTCCTCACCACGGGCCAGTGCTGGTTTCTTCCCTACACGTAGAGCTGGTCAGAAAATGGGTATTTTCCATGGATTTTTTTAAGATTAAAAACAACTAGATTTGGAAGGATTAGTTTTTTGTAGGTAAATGCTGATTTCACCATTTTCACACGCAAACCGATGAAATAATATTTCCATCAGTGTTAATAGAAATGTACAGATAGGCAAAGTAAGAAAAATGCTGCTAGAGAATTTATTACAGTTTGATTTAAGGCTACTTAGCATATTTTGACAATGGGTGGAGGATTTTAGCAACTGGTGAGAGTGAAAGGCAAGGGTTGAGTATCTTTCAAGTAGGCCAGCCGGAGGGGGTCCTCGGTGTTCGCTGGGAGAGTGGTGATGACCGAGTAGGACCCTGGCAGACCGTACATTGGCACATGCATAGGGTCTGATACACTGATCTGGCTTCCAGTGCAGCATGGGAATTGTTCCTGCTTTGAGCAGGGGGTTGGACTAGATGACCTCCTGAGGTCATCTTCCAACCCTGATATTCTATGAATCTATGAGGAGGAGGGTGCATGGAATTCATTATGACTAGGGCAAACCTGATGTTTCCCCCAGCTTTAGCCCTGTGAGCCTGGGGGCTCCAGCGAGCCCTACCAAGGCGCTGTCAGATTTGAAAGCTAGAAGTGAGGGCTGAGAGGTGGTGGTTAGGACGGGAAAGTGGGATCCAGGACTCCTGGGTTCTGCTCTCTCCTGTGGGGACAGTAGTTCCTTATTAATTAATGCCTGTAAAGTGCTTTGAGATCCTCAAATGCGAAGCAGTTGAGAGGGGTGAAGATTGCTCCTGCGTTGTGCGTGCTGCTACCTGGGAGGTTGTCAAAGGGAGCCCGGCAAGAGAAGAACGCTAGCACTGAGTGTTTGTGAGTGGCAGGAATTTATCTGCAGATCCAAAGTTTCTACCGTCCCTGGAAATCCACCTCCCCCGACACACACGCGATCTGACCCTCTAGCAAAGGCTCTGCTCTTGGGGATGCCACAATATGCTCTCTCAGAGCATGATCCTATGATATAATTTATCATATGCTAAGAGAGGTTAATTAAGATGAGGCTGTGTCCGGAGTGAAATTAACGATGCTTTGCCCTGCTGTGGCATCCTTCCCCTGAGGATCTTAAAGCACCTTACAAGCATTCAGTCAGAAAGCCCCATGATCCTTGCCCCTGCAATGGGTAGGAGAGATGACGTATTTCACCCCTCCCTGAAATGCAGCTACCTCTGGGGTTGGATGCAGCAGCCTGTTAAAAGCCATAGAACAGGCAAGGAAGGGAACATGAACCCCGCGTGTATTTGAAATTGCAGAAGGATTAGGGGAAGCTAACAGTTCTTGCCCAAACTGGAATTTGGCCAGGACACAGGGGGTTAATGTGTGTGAATCACTGGAGCTCTGCGGCAGTCCGAGCTTGGCTGATTTACGCCAGCTGAGGAAATGCCCTCAGGTTGCTGATGAAAATGATCCTTAATGATCATGAAGTCAGGGCTTCATTTTTACCCCTTATCTGCAAGCCCAAATCTCCCATAACACAGCACCCCTCGAACCACAAGGGGATGCCCTCTGGCGTCATGACTTAGAAGGGAGAGAACTCCTTTCTGAATAGCCCCCCACCCCCTGCAGCACTGAACCTCCCAGAGCCGCAATGGGGCTAGGAATGGCTTAGAAGAAAGAGCCCCCCCTGCTCACCGACAGAGATGGGGCTGGGACTCCCAGTCTGGGGCATTCATAGATTGTAAAGCCTGAAGGGACCACTGTGATCATCTAGTCTGACCTCGCTGTGTGACGCAGGCCAGAGAACTCCCCTGAGTTAATTCCTTCATAGTGGGTATATTGGCAAAGCCAAAGCTAAAATACCCATCGCAGTGCAGCACTGAGTTGAGGGCCTGCAGCCACCGATCAGGGCGTTGGTAACCTATGGTCCCCGGAATGAGGCAATCTGGTAGTAATCTGGCCAGGGCTTTTACCTTTGAAGTCAGGTTCCAAGTCGGACACGTCGGAGGCATCGGTCTGTCGGGCTGGAATCCCAGGCAGCTGGAAGATGTCCAGGGCCGTGTTCTTATACTCGGGTTTGCTAAAAGGGTTTGGCAAAAGTAAATCAGAGAAACAACAGATCAGGTTGTTCCCTCCACTGATGGGATTTCTGTAGCACAAGCTTAGGTCCCGTGGGAGGCAGTATGGGCTAGTGATTAGAGCAGGGAACTAAGAGCCAAGACTCCTGGGTTTGAATTCAGGGTCTGGAATGCGAGTGGTTAGAGCACAGTGGGATGACTGGGACTCAGGACACCTGGATTCTATCCGCAGCTCTGGAAGTGGAGTGGGGTCTAGTGGTTAGAGCAGGGGGGCTGGGAGTCAGGACTCTTGGGTTCTATTTCACTTTGGAAGTGAATTCAGCTAAGTCGAATTAAGTCAATTTTAATTCTGGATAAGAGCATCCACAGAGGGGTTTAGTGCAGTTAAACTAATCCATTTTAAAAGTGAATTCAGACTAAACTTTCCTGAAACTATGTCTACACTTAGAAACTGCACAGTGGTACATCTGTAGTAAAACCACCTTGCCAATCTAGCGCTGTCTGCACTGGAGTTTATGTTGACTTAACTATGTCTCTTAGGGGTGTGAATTTTTCACATCCCTGAGCGATGTAGCTGAGTCGATCTAATCGTCTCGTTTAGACCATCCCTGAGTGTCTCTGTGCAGACAAGCCCGTAGGCACCTAGGAGATTTAGGTGCCCATGGGTTTAGGCGCCACCTTTGAAAAGGTGAGCGCCATGTAAAGGGTGGACTTAGGGTCTAAGTAACTTGCCCAAGGTCACAGGCAGTTTGTGATGGAGCTGAGAATTTAAACCAGATCTCTTGTGGCCCAGTGTAGTACTCCTATCCCTCAAGCCACCCTAGAAAGGGCCTCCCAAAGGAGACAGAGCAGTGTGTGCTGATCCTTGGTAGACTGCTAAGCCTGCCGGGAGGCCATGAAATTAAACCAACCGCGCCCCTAACAAAAGAACCGAAGAAGGAAAACTTGATTTCAAGCTGACACAGCCAGCCACCTGCAGGCTGGTCTCTGCAAAACAACTCCACTAGGGCTAACGCCTTATTGTCCAAGAACAAACAAGGACAGATTGGAAATCGCAAGCTCTCTCTTTTAGAAAACAGCCAGCGTTGGGGTTTCATTGTTTATGGACGGGCAGAGTTGGATCCGATTCAAATGAGCCCGTCCCCTGCAAATGGCTCTGCCAGAGCTCGGAGCGGGGAGGAAGGGGAAAAGCACAGGGCCAAGTTCTCCCCTGGTGTAACACCCCTAGTGTCACTGCTGCAGGACGGGTTCTGGCCGGTGTAACTCCCTTGAGGTAAATTGTGCTACACCAGGAGTGAAATTGGCCCACCCTCCTCCACGTCTCTATCAGCTTGAATCCAAGGATCCCAAAGCACTTTATTAACAGTAATTAAGCCAGCAGCCCTACAAGGTAGCCATGATGACCCCCCATCATCTTGCAGAATGTGAAACAGGACACATGCTATTCTAAGCATTAGGCTTCCCCTCGCTCTCAGCTGAGAGGAGAACCCAGGCGTCCTGGTCCCCTTCTCTAGCCACTAGCCACTTCCTGCTATATATAGGAAGCGAACTAATCACTGGGTTGCACTGTCCTCCCAGCGTTAACCAAAGAACCCAGGAGTCCTGAGTCCCCCAAACCCGCTCTGTAAATCACAGGCCCATCCCATATACCACTAGCTGGTCTCCCCCACTCTTCCAATCTAGCCCAGCCAGGGCGCATGACTGGGGAGGCTGGGAGAGGCTAGCTACAGGAGCGCACCCCTGAGAACGACCTGCTGACAGTGGGCTCAGTCCAGGGTGGGACGGGGAGGGTCCCCCTTGCCTCGCCTCATCATTCATCATGTGCTGCTTCCCAGCGAAAAGAAAGTAAATAAGTTTCCATTCCAGGAAGGCTGAGAGAAAGTTAATTAGTCTCTGTAATTACAGCACTAATTAACTAAAATACTAATCACCCTGACAAATCATACACTGGTATCTGTAATTACTTACAGGATTAGCATAATAATAGCTCCTTTTGCTTTAGCGGGGGAAAAAAACCAGCCATTAATAACCATCTGTTGTAGTCATTCATATATTAATTTATTTTAGATATAAAAAAAAACCCCTCTCCTCGCCAGAGAAAGTGTATAATTCTGGAGTCGCTTTAATGGTGCAGGTGGGGGAGACACTCCAGACAAGTGGTGATTTTTTGCAGTGCCACACCCACCCTGCGACGTTTGCTCAGGGCTGTTCTCTGAAGCTACGGAGGCCAGTGACCAAAATTCATAGACTCCAAAGCCAGAAGGGACCATTGTGATCATCTCGTCCAGGGGTTCTCAAACAGGGAGTCGAGGTTATTACATGGGGGATTGCGAGCTGTCAGCCTCCACCCCAAACCCCGCTTTGCCTCCAGTGTTTATAATGGTGTTAAAGATATTAAAAAGTCTTTAATCGATAAGGGGGGGGTCAAACTCAGAGGCTTGCTATGTGAAAGGGGTCACCCGTACAAAAGTTTGAGAACCACTGATCTAGTCTGAGCCCCCTGCATAACCCAGGCCAGAGAACGGCCCCCCATACCATTCCTAGGGCAGCGCTTTTAGAAAAACAGCCCGTCTTGATTTAAAAATGGTCCGTGATGGAGAATCCACCCCGACCCTGGGTGAGTTGTTCCGATGGTTAATTTCGCCGTTAAAAACATACATCTTCATTTTTGCCTGAATTTGTCTAGCTTCAACCAGGGCCAGCTCCAGCTTTTTTGCCGCCCCAAGCGGCGAAGCGGGGAAAAAAAAAAAGATAAAGCCGTGATCGGCGGCACTTCGGCAGCAGCTCTGCCGCGCCGCTTCATTCTTCGGCGGCAATTCGGCAGCGGGTCCTTCGCTCCGAGAGGGACTGAGGCACCCGCCGTCGAATTGCCGCCGAAGGCCCAGACGTGCCGCCCCTTTCCATTGGCCGCCCCAAGCACCTGCTTCCTTTGCTGGTGCCTGGAGCCGGCCCTGGCTTCAACATCAGTTGACACGTCCGGGTGCCTCTTGGAGCTGAAGGGAGAGCCTCCTCGTGCAACTGATGCGAAACGGCACACCAAGCTAACCTGAGGGACGGCTGCCGATGAAGGGATATTTATGGCCAGATCCACTGCTCAGGCCTGGTGAAAAGACCCAAGTGGCACAGCAGCCAGGGCACTAGACTATGGGTGTAGTCACACTCTAGCTGGGAGTGCTGACCAAGGTAGAATATAGCTAAAAATAGGAGCGTGGTTGCAGCAGTTTGGGCTAGCAGTCGAGCAGGCTTGTACGTGGGTGCCTGGCCCACGCCACTGCCCGAGCTGCTCTGGCTCCACTGCTGTTTGTTCTGTGCTAGCTCGTGTCTGCCCACCTGTGCGGGGAATCACAGAATATCAGGGTTGGAAGGGACCTCAGGAGGTCATCTAGTCCAACCCCCTGCTCAAAGCAGGACCAATTCCCAACTAAATCATCCCAGCCAGGGCTTTGTCAAGCCGGGCCTTAAAAACCTCCAAGGAAGGAGATTCCACCACCTCCCTAGGGAACCCATTCCAGTGCTTCACCACCCTCCTAGTGAAATAGTGTTTCCTAATATCCAACCTAGATCTCCCCCACTGCAACTTGAGACCATTACTCCTTGTTCTGTCATCTGCCACCACTGAGAACAGCCGAGCTCCATCCTCTTTGGAACCCCCCTTCAGGTAGTTGAAAGCAGCTATCAAATCCCCCCTCACTCTTCTCTTCTGCAGACTAAACATCCCAGTTCCCTCAGCCTCTCCTCATAAGTCATGTGCTCCAGCCCCCTCATCATTTTTGTTGCCCTCCGCTGGACTCTCTCCAATTTTTCCACATCCTCCTTGTAGTGTGGGGCCCAAAACTGGACACAGTACTCCAGATGAGGCCTCACCAGTGCCAAATAGAGGGGAATGATCACATCCCTCGATCTGCTGGCAATGCCCCTACTTATACAACCCAAAATGCCATTAGCCTTCTTCCAGGTGCTCTGTAGACGTACTGTGTCAGGAGACCTAGGTTCTAGGCCTAGCGCTGCGGGGTGAGCCTGGACAAGTCACTTGGTATCCTGGATCCTCCCACAGAAATCAGTGCAAGTTAGGCCCCCTAAATGCCTTTGAGGATCTGGGGCTTGCCTCTGTTTTCCCCCCTCCCACTATCTTTTACTGTGGGTTTGTGAAGCTCTCAGCACAGGTTAGGGGCTCTGAGTGGGGTCTGGGGTCTAGTGTCTAGAGCAGAGGGGGCTGGGAGCCAGGACTCCTGGGTTCTAGTGCCAACGCAGGGAGGGGAGTGGTATCTAGTGGTTAGAGCAGGGAGGCTGGATGCCAGGACTCCTGGGTTCTGTTCCCAACTCAGGGAGGGGAGGCTGGGCGCCAGGACCCCTGGATTCTAGTGCCAACGTAGGGAGGGGAGTGGTATCTAGTGGTTAGAGCAGGGAGACTGGCCGCCAGGACTCCTGGGTTCTGTTCCCAACTCAGGGAGGGGAGTGGTATCTAGTGGTTAGAGCAGGGAGGCTGGGCACCAGGACTCCTGGGTTCTGTTCCCAACTCAGGGAGAGGAGTGGGGTCTAGTGGTTAAGCTGGGAGTCAGGACTCCAGGGTTCTGTGCCCCTCTGTGTTGTGGCACTGTGCATGTCATTTCCTCTCCCTGTGCCTCCATTTCCACATGTGACCTCAACCGGGGATTCTAAGTGTTACTGTAGACAACTGTATTTAGGCACCCGACTCCTTTGATTTCAATGCGAGTTAGGCCCCGAAACACCTTTGAGGGCCTCTGTTCCTATACCTGGGCAAACAGGTGCCTGGACTAAATGAGAGTGGGGCCCAGCAGAGATGCACAGCTCTGCGTGTGTCTATCAGGGCAGGACTGTGGGCGATGCAGATTTCCCCCTGCAGCCCCAGCAGGGAGGTGGACAATACAGATAGAAATGGCAGCTACCTGCTGGTCTCAGATCACATTTCCCAGGGTGTCTTCCATACTCTGCAGCTGTAGAGAAATATTTCTCAACAAATTACAGCCCTGCTGGAATGGGATGGGGGCAAAGGAGGTTTTCAATCAGGTTTGCTGCTTCTCTCAGCATTTAATAGCCTATGCCGCGAAAACAGCCTTGTCTACCAGGAACTGCTGCGATGAAGAGTATTAATCACTAAAACACTCACAAAACGATCAGCCAGCCTGGCTGGATCTGATGGGCAACGCACTAGACTAGGAGACAGGACTCCTGGGTTCCGTTCCCAGCTTCAGGTGGGCGCATAGTCTAGAGATTAGAGCAAGGGTGAGGGGAGTGTGGTTAGAGCAAGGGGGGGCTGTGGGGCAGAACTCCTGGGTTCTATTCCCAACTTGGCCACAGTCTGACCGTGGGCAAGTCACCACACGACTACATGCCTCAGTTTACAATGAAGCTAGTAAATACTGCCCCCACTTTCCATGGGGATTGGGAGGCTAGGTCATTTACTGCCTATAGGGACCATCTCCTCCTACATGTTTACCCAGCAATGTTCCCTCTAATTTTTTCCATCTATGTGCGGAATAAATTTTATGTGCACTGAGGTATGTGTGGATGTGCACCACCAGTAGAAACAAAAAAACCTAGACATAATATATAGTTTTAAAAAGTTAAATAGGGATAATTACTCCAGCCAGGACAGGTTAGGCATTTTAGAACTCACTACTCAAAGAATTAAATGTAAGTGTAAGAGAAATAAAAATTATGAAATGCACAGACCAGTCAAAACACTAAAATAACACACTTTGAAAGAATAAAATTACAGAGAATATACGTGCATTGCAGGAGGTACCAAGAAGTAACAACAATAATACAGGTATGTGGTGGGAGGTGAGTGTGACACAGAGACAGTGTGTGTGTGTGTGTGACACAGACAGTGTTTGTGTGTGCATGACTGTGTTTGTGTGTGACAGAGATAGTGTTTGTGCATGACACAAAGACTCTGTGTGTGTGTGAGACAGACAGTGTGTGTGACAGAGCATGTGCAACAGAGACGTGTGTGTGTGTGAGAGAGAGACAGTGTGTGACACAGTGTGATACAGACTTTGTGTGTGTGTGTCACAGAGACTCTGTGTGTGTAAGAGAGAGAGAGACAGCGTGTATGCTGGTTGCTGGAAAAGTTTCTGAGATGCCCTGCTCTGTCTCTTTAAGACACTCACTGAAAGCTCTCCTGCTCTGTCCTGAGCCCTGTTGTCTCCTCTCCTCTGCTATGCAAGATGGGGTACATGGGCAGGGGGAGAGAGAGAGAGTGTGTGTGTAACAGACAGACAGACCCTGTGTGAGCTGGCTGTTGGGGAAATCTCAGAAACAGTGCACTGTCTCTTTAAGAAAGGCACTCAGCCACTCACCCTTCCCTGCAGCAGCTCCGAGTCCTGAGTCCAGCTGTGTCCCCTCTGCCCTGCTCTGCAGAGATGGGGTACAGGGGCTGGAGGAGAGGGGGACACCCTGACATCAGCACCCTTCCCCCTCCCCGCACAGCCAGCAGGATGGTCCTGGGAGCAGCTGCAGGAGGAAGCAGCAGGTGGAGAGAGGGGCACCCGAACACATGCTGCCGACTGGGGGGCACTTAAATCTCTCCTGCCCTGCGCAGCTTCCAGGGAACACAGCCCAGCACTGGTCCTGATTGGCTGCTACCGCAATCCAAACATTAGTTCATCATACAGTGCTTTGGGATCCTCAGACAGCCTGCGCACACAGCATTGCCCTCTCCTGGATGAACTCAGAACAGCCCACCTGTGTGTCCTAGACCCTACAAAGCCAGCAGTTAATGGGGAGAGCCCCGGAGCTCAGTGGGGGGCAGCTGCCTGAGCTTTTGGGGCAGGAGGGTCTGCGCATCTATCCCTATTGCCGCAGCGTGTGGAACAGCGAGGCCCCTCTTCGGAAGCTTGCTGATTTGTTCCAACACAGCCATGTGATCTCACCTGAGGATGTAATTGACCCAGACCATATTCTTCTCACTGGGGTTCTTGATATTGACCGAGATGGTGGCACAGGACTGAATCCACACAAAGCCCCCGTTCTTCTGCAGCCAGCGGTAATATCGGGTCACGACCTGGCCTTTTTTCAACACTAATTGAAAAAGAAGTTTGTTAGCTGAAGGCTGCCAGGCCCCACCCCTTCCCCTCTATCATGATCACAGAGCCAAGAAACGGGCTTTTACCCCCTCCCTGCTCAAGATCCCAGGAAAGGTACAGTCCCACTTATCACAGCCACGGCTCCTTAATGGTTTATCCAGCTTGTCATCAGCTCGGATGTCTCTGTGGCCCCTTTCATCTCTCTCCAGTGCTGATGTCCCCAATTCAAGCTGGATGTCGATCAACTGAAGAGGGGCCAGAGAAAAGGCACGAGAATGATACAAAGGATTGGAAAACCTGCCTTACAGTGAGATTCTCCAGGAGCTCAATCTGTTTAGCTTAACAAAGAGAAGGTTAAAGGGCGACTTGATCCCAGCCTATCAGTAACCATACGGGGATCAACTATTTGATCATGGGCTCTGCAGTCTAGCGGAGGAATGACTAACACAATCCAATGGCTGGACGTGGAAGCTGGACAAATTCAGACTGGAAATAAGGTGTCAGTTTTTAACAATGAGATTGACCAAGGGCCGTGGTGGATTCCCCATCACTGGCAAGTGTTCAGTGAAGACTGGATGTTTTTTTATAAGAGATCTGCGCTAGTTCAAACCGGAATGAATTCAGGGCATTCCTATGGCCCGTGTTAGACAGGAGGTCAGAGTAGACGACCAAATATGTTAAGGGGTGTTATAAAGAGGATGACGATCACGTGCTCTCCGTGTCCATTGGAGGTAGGACAAGACGTAATGGGCTTAATCTGCAGCAAGGGAGATTGAGGTGAGACACTAGGACAAACTTTCTAACTCGGGGGAGTTAAGCTCCGGAACAGGCGTCCAAGGGAGGTTGTGGACTCCCCTTCGTTGGAGATTTTTAAGAACAGACTGTCAGGGCTGGTCTAAGTTTACTTGGTCCTGCCTCAGTGCAGGGGGCTGGACGTGATGACGTCTCAAGGTCCCTTCCAGCCCGACATTGCTATGATCTCAGTGGTCCCTTCTGGCTTTTGAAGCTGTCTGACTCCATAGCACACGCCAGGGCCCAGCCCAAAGGTTTGATAGGTTAAGGGCTAGTTATTATTAATAACGGATTGCACCTTTCATCCAAAGCAGCTTTCGTGCTGCATATAAAGACCCTAGTCCAGCTGCTCCCTCTCTAGGGTGGGATGCAGCAGTTGTTTGAACATCTGCCTTGCAGTTTAGGCCAGGAAGTGTAGAAAGAATCCGGCGTCCAGTTGAAACTGGAGGGGAGTGGTTTAATCGCCAGGGTTGGGATCTCACTTGGACAAGCAGGGGTTAAATGCTTGGATTCTGACCGGGATGTTCAGCGGATCTTTAATGATCACAAAGGGTCAGGATCCGATTTGAAAGATAGCAAGGCCAGCCCTGACTGCAAAGGGAGAGCGCCCCCTGCTGAGCACCTGCTCCCCATGTTGGGGTCAGCACTGACTCAGACGAGAGAGCGCCCCCTGCTGTGTCACTCATGGCAGCCCCTGCAGCACAGCGCCCCCTAGCACCGCACTGGGGCAACGGGGTCAGTGCTGACTCAGAGCTCCTTAAAGTTATCAACCACTTCCTACAGCACCGCACTGGGGCATTGAGGTCAGCATCAGCTGGGAGCAGCGTGCTCCCTAACTCGCCATGAGCACTTTTCCCTGTAGCATCCTGAGTGATCCCGGGAGGGCACCCATCCAAGAACTGAGCAAACCCAACACTCCTTAGCTTGGTAGGGTTACTATCAGCCTGCCTGCCCAGGGGCATAACCATTGCCTTCTAGTGCATCGATACACACAACACAGACCAGATCCATCCCTGGAGACAAGGGCGTTGCGATATTCCCCTAGGTGTCTTGCACCCCCTTGCTGATCCACAGCCCATTCTGGGCACCTGCTTGGACTTCTCCAAAGCCAGATCAGCATTGGGTAAGGAACTATCAACCCCAGTTTAACATACTGGATTAAAAACTGGCTAACTGATAGATCTCAAAATGTAATTGTAAACAGGAAACCCTCATCCAACAGGTGTCTTTCTAGTGAGGTCCCACAGGGATCAGTTCTTGGCCCTACACTATTTCACATTGTTATCAATGACCTGGAAGAAAACATAAAAATCACCACTGAAATGACACAAAAATTGGGGGAGTGATAAATAATAAAGAGGACAAGTCGCTGATACAGAGCGATCGGGATCGCTTGGTAAACGGGGCACAAGCAAACACTATGCGTTTTAACACGGCTAAATGTCAATGGATACATCTGGGAACAAAGACCGTTGGCCGTACTACAGGATGGGGGACTCTAGCCTTTGGAAGGAGGGGCTCTGAGAAACATTTGGATAATCAGCTGAACATGAGCTCACAGTGCGACCCTGGGGCCAAAAGATCTAATGCGAACCTGGGATGTATAAAAAGGGGAATCTCAGATAGTAGCAGAGAGGTTATTTTATGTCTGTGTTTGGCACTGGTGCAGCCGCTGCTGGAATCCTGTGTCTGGTTCTGGTGCCCACGATTCAAGAAGGAGGCTGATAAATCGGAGAGGGGTCAGAGAAGAGCCGCAAGAATGATTAAAAGATTCGAAAACCTGCCTTATAGTGATAAGACTCAAGGAGCTCAAGCTATTTAACTTAACAAAGAGAAGGTTAAGGGGTGACTTGATTCCAGTCTATCAGTATCTACCTGCAAAAAGAACAGGAGTACTTGTGGCACCTTAGAGACTAACAAATTTATTAGAGCATAAGCTTTCGTGGGCTACAGCCCACTTCTTCGGATGCATATAGAACGGAACATATATTGAGGAGATATATATACACACATACAGAGAGCATGAACAGGTGGGAATTGTCTTACCAACTCTGAGAGGCCAATTAAGTAAGAGAAAAAAAACTTTCAACTGTCTGTACTGGGCTATCTTGATCATCACTTCAAAAGTTTTTTTTCTCTGACTTAATTGGCCTCTTAGAGTTGGTAAGACAACTCCCACCTGTTCATGCTCTCTGTATGTGTGTATATATATCTCAATATATGTTCTGTTCTATATGCATCCGAAGAAGTGGGCTGTAGCCCACGAAAGCTTATGCTCTAATAAATTTGTTAGTCTCTAAGGTGCCACAAGTACTCCTGTTCTTTTTGCAGATACAGACTAACACGGCTGCTACTCTGAAAAGTATCTACGTGGGGAACAAATATTTACAAACGGGCTCTGCAGTCTAGCAGAGGAAGGTCGAACATGATCCAATGGCTGGAAGTGGAAGCCAGACACATTCAGACTGGAAATAAGGTGTCAAGTTTTAAATGAGTCATTAGCCATTGGGACAATTTGCAGTTGACGAAGAACCTTGGGGCTCAGCAAGACGTGCCTGGGATTCAGCACATGAGGTCTGCTGGGGAAAGGACAGGTCTGATGGCAGCTCTTGCTGGACAGACAGTGCCACACGCCCACGTGGAGGAAATCCAGCTATGGACAGAGCGCATGCCGCACGGCCAGCCGCTTTGCCAAGGAGAGCACCCAACCCAGGCAGGAATAGAACCCCTCTCAAGGCAAACCTGACTCAGCCGGAGTTCAAAAAGAGGCAACTTGGTCTTTGGAGCTGCTCCTGACACTGGAGAGAAGCCGCTTAGACCCAGATCGGCGCAGGCAGCTTTACCCAAGCGGAACAAAAAGACGCACATGACAAAGAGCTAGAGGGCGGGGGCATCTCCTGCAGAGGAGGTGAGGGGGAAGGAGAATCCATTGGCAGAGACAATTCAGCAAGTATCCCAGGAGAGGATGGGGACACAACTTTCCTTTGCACTAGGAACCCGGAGCCATCCAGCACGCAGGCACAACTTGCTGTGTGTCACGGTAGCACCTTGTTGTGCCAGGGGCTGGACCCACACCCCCAGGGAGAGACAGTTCCCACCCCGAAAACCTGACAGTCGAAACAGACCAAGGAAGGATGATTAACCTCATTGTACAGATGGGGGAAACTGAGGCACGGTTTTTTTTTTAAAGTGACACATGCTAGGGGATCTGTGCCACATGTGGGACTCAAAGGCTGGTCTCCTGGGTGCTCAGTGCCTTGCTCCCACAGCACTTCCTGCGTCTGGCTGATGAAATTTACAAGCTAGGAAATCCAGCAGAGAGCCCTGCCCGCTGGGTTCTGAAACATCCTTTTATATTCCTGTCCCCACCAACGTGACATGGACCCTTCACCCCGGAGGGAGGAAGAGCTGGAGCAAACCAGAGCAGGGGACCGTAACTAGGATGCTTACAGTCCAGGTGGCTCTGCCGGATTCCTTCCACGTCCTCGCCATGGATAAACTGGTAGCAGCTTTTCCCTACCAGCTCCGAGGGGCATAGGTCCATATAATCGCTGATCCTGTGGGCGGAGGAGAGGTAGGGGGAGTTATAAAGCCAGGGAGAAGCAGAGAGAGATGGGAAAGGGTGGACCAGCTGCACGCCACTGTCCCCCGTCCCGGCATAGAGCCTGGCTAGGAAGGGGTGCCGACCTGCCAGGCACCAAGATGCTATTGGATGGTAGGGGCCAGATCCTCAGCATGGGTGTATTGGCGCAGCTGGGGGTCTGGCCCTATTGACTCTAATGGAGCGACAGCCGATTCACACCAGCTGGGGATCTAGCCCCATCAATGGGGCGACGGTGGCTTCACACCAGTTGGGGCCCTGGCTCCCAGAAACGGAACGGATCCCTTGTAGCAGGGTGAGAGAGAATCCCAGAATACAAGGCTGTATCAGGTATTAACCTGAGGCCAAAATAAAAGGCACAGGCCAATTTTATCTCTGACATCACTGCAATGACTCCAGATTTACTCCCAGATGACTGTGCACAGAATCTGGCCCTAACGCCACTGACACCAACCGAGTCACTCCGGACCCAGCCGTCTGCCCCTGGACCCACCTGCTCTCGCAGTACACGATCTGCAGATCCATGTTGACCCGGAATACAAACATGTGGCACTCGATGCGCACCTCGCTGAGCGTGGAAGGCGGCAGCGTGTGGGCCAGGGCCACCAGCCCCAGGACTCGGCTGAGGACCGAATGGGCGTGGGAGAAGGACGGCAGGCGGGGACGGAGACGGCCAGTAACGTGAATCACCTGTGTGTGGCGGGGGTGGGGGAGTCGGAGAGAAAGAGAGAGGGGTGTATATGGGCAGGGAACATTTATTCAGTGTGCCGTACCACTGACCAAGAGTCTGGGTCCCTAACGCCAGGGCCGTGCCAGGAATGAGTCAAAGGGAGCAAAGGGGTCAGAGAGCGGGATATGGGCAGTCATGCCTAGTGGTTAGAGCAGGAGTCAGCCAATCAGGCAACCTACTCCAGCCCAGCTGCCCTTGAGACTGGCTCTGTTGCAGGCCCTAATTCCTGACACATGGTGCCTCCTGCTGGGAAAGAGACACAGCGTTGATCACCCCCACACTATCAGCCTCAGTGGGCAGACACTGGGGCGGAGGTATGTCCCCACTTGGGATTTAAGACCACTGCACATGGCAGACCACACCCTTAGGCCCCTTTACCTTGTAGCCAGAAGTCTTCACATGCAGCCCTCTCTTGGTCAGGGTGGATTTCATACGGACGAAGAAGGATCGTTCCAGGGCGTCGTGCTTGGGGTGTGTGTGGGAGCCGGCGGGATCTGAGACAGACACGGCGCGATCAGCGTCATTGCTCAGGCACCCGGCACGCCACACAGCGCAAGGGGGGCGTGGTCATCTACCCGGGGCTCTGGCTAATCACCATGAGGGGCGTGGCCTTTGTCAGAGCGAGGCTGGCCCTCAAATAACTGAGGTGCGACCACTTCCTGTAGGCGTGAGGCGGGCCGCCTCTGATTCAAAAACCAGGTGGCCTTCTGCAGGGATGGGGGAGGAGTCTGTTTTCCTGCTGGAGCAGGGGCAAGGGGCTGTGTCATCTTGCACGGCCTCTCAGGCGTCACTCCTGCAACCCGCTCCTCCCAAGCTCCCTTGTGCCCCACCTCAGTGTGGCACTTGCCCCTGGCCCCCAGCAATCCCGATGACTGTCATCCACCCCACAAGGGGAGAGCCCCCAGCGTACACCACTCAGCTGCTACATCTCTCTCCCAGACCCCAGCCTTGGTCACCTCCTGGCTCTTATGCTGGGGACTCTTTGGTTTAACTGGCCCCATCGGGTCATCTCCCCAATCTCGAAATAACGCACCAAGCCCCCAAACCCTCTGGGAACAGATCCCTTTGAAACCCAATTCCACGACCCCCGTATGCAAACACCTGCCCATCTATTGTAATTTGGGAGCAGCCGTTTTGCTAAAACCCTGTGCCCCCCATCTCTCTGGCGTTCAACCCCCCCCCCCCCCCTTAAGAATGGCACCCATCCCCAGTGGAACCCCCTCCCTCCAGGAGCACACGTCTCCCCCCCTACACCTGCGCTGATCTGCACTCCCCAGCAATGCAGAGGACGGGCCGCTGTCTGCTTTCCGTCTGGGGAGGCAGAGCATGCTCCGGGCTGAGCTTTATATCTCATTCTCTTTTACGCTCCTGCTTCGTATAAATCTTTTAAAGGTTCCCCAGATAAAAGCCAAGCAGACGGATATCAAATGAGATGGAAGGCGACTGAAGATTCCCTTTCATTTCTCGCCACCCACTAGGCTCCTGGATGCTGGCTCCTCCACACAGCCCTGGTGTGGTTGTGGGGGGGCAGGGAGGGGAGGGGGGGACGGACACCCACAACCCCTGGGTGAAGGCGGCTGGCGGGGGCCAGGTGAGACTGAGTGAATAACCAGCCAGCACAGAGTTTGGGCTCCTACCCTCCCCGGGGAAGCAGCTCACACATGAAGGTGACAAAGGGCTGGGAATTCCAAGGCTCAGGGAGAGGGGCGGGGGACAAAAGTGGGGGGGAAAGGGGTTGGGAACCGAGAGAGAAGAGGAAAAGAAAGGGGGGAGAGAGAGACTGGGGAAGGGAGAAAGGAAGAGGAGGGAGATGAAGGGAGAGAGGGTGGGGAGTCCAGTGGTTAGAGCAGAGAGGGCAGGGTGTCAGGACTTCTGGGTTCCACCCCCAGCTCTGGGACAGGAGCGGGGTCTAGTGATTACAGCAGGGGGGGACTGAGAATCAGGACTCCTGGGTTCTATACCTGGCGGGATGGGAGCGGGGGTCTAGTGGTTAGAGCAGGGGGGACTGGGCATTTGGGACTGCCGGGTTCTTGTCGCAGCCCTGGGGCAGAGGCAGAGGGTTGGGGGTAGGGGGATGGGTCCACAGGCTGTTTCTAGCCAAGCAAGAGAAGCGGCTTTACCGGGCTCAGAGGCCTCGTTCAGGGAGGAGGACGAGCTGGCCCCGGTGAGGCCTGGGGGTTTCTGGCTCCCCGGCAGGGAGCCAACAGCATCGAAAGGCGGCTTGAGCCCCAGTTGCTCGGCGACCTCAGGGTGATCTCCGGGATGGATGTAGTCAAAGACGCTGCCGCCTGTCAGCTCCACCTAGAAGACAACAGAGATGGGTGGGGGGGAGTCAGAGCTGGGCTCCCCTATTAGCGGGGAGAGAGAAGCTAGCTGGGGCCGTTCCCCTCCGGGATCCCAGCACCTGGGACCACCCCCCACGGGACTCACGCCCGATGCATCTAACCCCAAGCCGGCTGACAGACCCAACGAGCCCTTGGCCAAGTCACCTGGCTTCTCCCCTCCCCACCTTTCTAAGCCAGGCCCCAGTGCTGCCCTTCCAGACAGCCATCAGAGAGGAGAGAGATCAGGAGATTGTCTCTGTTCTGTGTCTGTACAGCCCCTGGCACCATGGGCTACTAGGCGCTACTACCATCTGAATAACCAATAATGGGATCCAGCCACAGGGGCGACGGAGGAGGGTGAACCCCAGCAAGGTCCCCTCGATCAGAACATGCTGTTGTCTCACAGGCAGGTTTCTCCTCCCCCGGACTGTGCGCTGGAAGGCTTCCCAGGGATGTGATTAAAAGCTCCAGCGATCTGACTCAGAGACAGCCTCACCCCCCCACCCCACCCAGAGGGGGCAAATAACCTAACTAGTTAGCACAGTTGCCACCTTTCACCTGGTAACTAAGCCCCCCCGACTTTCACACTAAGCCAAAAATCAAGATAATCCCATTTCAAAACAAGCCAAGCCCTAAGACCCCCAACACTCTGTGATCCCCCCGGCGTGCAGTCAGGGCCTGTGGTGGGCCCGCTGTGAACCCCTGACTCTCTCCCACCCCCCCTTGCCCCTGCTTCCCGAGAGCCGATCAAAAAACAAGAAGCAACAAGCTACAAGCCAAACAAGTAACAAGCTACAAGCCAAAAATTAGCCAACAAGCAACTCACAAGCCAATTAAGCCAAAACCAAGCCCAATGTCTGCGTTTTTTCCCGTGGGTTTGGCAGGTCTGCTGGTTAGCTGATGGAGCGTGATACATGTCTGACTGGGCTGATCTGATGGGATGGCAGGGACTGGCCCCGATGCTCCAGGAGGCCCTTTCCAGGCCCGTGTTGCCTAGGCGTGGATTGCTCAACAGCCACCGGGGGGTGCCCCCTTGGCGAGGGCACAAACCCAGCAGGGTTGTGAGGTGAGACTGCCAAGCAGCAATCCCTCAGTGGTCCCCGAGAGACACAGCTGCCTGCCCTCTCGCCTGTCAACCCGGCCTGGCTCTCACTGATCACACCCTCGGCTAATGCAATAAACCTCGGGGTGGAGTGCCTGTTCTAAAGGTCCCCCCCCCCCCCCCCCCCCCCAGACACACGCACACGGCACCAGCCAGAGCGAGGTCAGCCGGAGTGACCTCCGCGCCGCCTGCAAAGGAAGGGGCAGTGCCCTCATCACCGTGCCAGCCTGCCCGGGAGCAGCGGTGTCCCGTTGGAATACTGAAGGTCACCGCTTCGGGTTAACGTTTCCCACCACATAATGAAGAGGGAGGATCAATAAATAATCATGCCAAGCTCTTTTCTTCGCCTCCAGGGTTCGGGGGCTTTCCGGAGGGCTGAGCCTCATTAAAAGCGGAAAGGAGCAAGCACCAGGCTGCCAAGGCGGCTGCTGGAGACGGGCTAAGGACCAATGCTGTGTAGCAGACTGACGCCGCCCTCGGGAATGGTGTGCTACGTGTGTGTGGGGGGGGGGGGGCGGCCGGGCCCCCAGGCGGCATGGCCTAGTCAGATAGAACAGGGCGGGGGGGGCGGGGGGAGACTGGGAAACAGGATTTATGGGCTGGGGTAGGGGCTGCCTTTGTGTTCTGTGTTCGTACTGCACCTAGCGCAATGGGGGTCTTAGCCTGTGACTGGGGCTCCCAAGTGCTACCGCAATACACCTAATAGCACTAAAATGTACAGCGCCTAGCACAATGGGGGTCTTAGTCTATGACTGGGGCTTCTGAGCACTACCACAATTCACCTAATAGCAATAAAAACGTACAGCGCCTGGCACAATGGGGGTCTTAGTCTATGACTGGGGCTTCTGGGCACTACCACAATTCACCTAATAGCAATAAAAACATACAGTGCCTGGCACAATGGGGGTCTTAGTCTATGACTGGGGCTTTTGGGCACTACCATAATACACCTAATAGCAATAAAATGTACCGCACCTAGCACAAGGGGGGGGTCTTTGTCCACAATCATGGCTTCTAGGCGCGACCATGTTCTAAAAAATCATAATATTCTCCACGCTGGGAGGAGAGTGGGTCTAGTGGTTACAGCAGGGATGCCAGACACCTGGGTTCTAGCCCCAGCTCCGGGAGGGGAGTGTGCTCTAGTGGCTACAGCAGGTCACTGTGAGCTGGGATTCCTGGCTTCTGCCACTGATTTGGAAAAGGGAAGCTGGTGCACACCACATCATCACTGCGTGCCTCAGTTTACCCCACGATAGGGAAGGCTAATACCTTGCCCTGGGGGGGGGGTCACAAGGATTAATTAACGTCTATGAAGGGCAAAGGCTGGGCACCCTGAGCCAGTGGCAATGGCTGCAGCTGGCCCCTTTGCCATTTTGCCCCCAAGACCTCAAAGCGCTTGAGGAATTCAGTCTCACGCCGCCTTCGTGCCCGCAGGGAAGGGCAGGAGAGAGATCGCCGTGGTCACAGGTACTCATCGGAGGTGCCCGGACGCCACCGGGATGGGAGCCATGGAACAGCCTAGAGAGCGGCGCGCCTAGAGGCCGGCTCCTGCTCCCGTTTTCACGCTCAGGGGAAGTGAGGCGCAGGGACTCGGCCAAGGGCTCCCAGGCCTGTGTGGTAGCCACTAGCCCCGCTGGCAGCATGGTCTCGGCACGGCTGCTGCTAAAGGGGATTGGGCACTGGGCAGGGCAGAAAGGGAGGGGTTTATCTGTCCAGCTGGGGATGGGGGGTGCATGTGTGAGAAAGGAGCATGGCGTGGAGGGGAGGGAGGGAAAGAAAGAAAGAAAGAAAGAAAGAAAGAAAGAAAGAAAAAGAAAGGGCTGAAGACAAAGAGATCTTTCCAGGGGAGGGAAGGAAGGGGAGCTGGACAGTGTGTGTGTTGGGGGGAGGGAAGGGAGATGCCCCTCCATGAATGAGGCTGGATAATACAGCGCTGGAATGAGGTCGGGGGAGTGGCTGAAATTCTCCCCAGATGGGGGAGGGAGGGGGGGTGCCCAGCAGCCCTGATCCAATTCCTTGCCTCAGAACCATGAGCCACCCCCCCTTCCCCCAAAGCCTGCGGCAAGGTCCTCTCCATCAGCACTGACTGCGGGATCAAAGGCTGCCTTCTCCTTGCCTGGGGTTGGCTCTGGGTCTGCCGTGCTCGCTGGGGATGCATTAAAAGCGCCTGCGATCTGACTCAGACACGGAGGCCCTGGGGAGCTCTCAGCGAAACCCTGACGTGCAGCTTAAACTATGCCCCAGCCAGGTTCCTTGGTGCCCTCCATGCATGGGCCAGAGGCTCTCAAAGCACTTAACCCTCTTTCACTTATAGGGAAACTGAGGCACAGAGTGAGGAAGGCACCTAAGTTTACACATGCATGGTGTCAAGTACCCGGGGGTAGCCGTGTTAGTCTGTATCTACAAAAACAACAAGGAGTCTGGTGGCACCTTAAAGACTAAGATTTATTTGGGCATAAGCTTTCGTGGGTAAAAACCTCACTTCTTCGGATGCATCCGA